GTTTGTCTGAAAAGGCTAGCCTCGTGGAGAGATAAATTATCACTTCCGATTAAGCGATTTTATTTAAAAATTATATTTGAATGTTTTTTTTTTCTATACATAATATTAACCGTATATCTTTATTTAAAGTGCATGTCCATATGGCACAGGTTTGATATATGTGTGGATTAAAACTACGAATCTACGATTCAACGCTACAAATAGTTAAACTGAATTCAGAGGCACTTAAAACGTAAACATTCAACAAAATCTCAAAGTCGAATTTTGGTACGATTACAATATTTCCTGCCCAGATACTTCGTATTTATAGGAAAGTTCAACAATTTAACTCCAGAAATGTTTTAATATTAAAAAAAAAATAATCTACAGCAACAACCGGTATGCATGAATCATCATGAAAATTCCACAATTCTTTCGCAATTCCATGAGCGATTTATTTTTTATATACAATCTCTTTTAGTTGTGATCTAATTTGCAAATTAAATGCTCACATTGGGTGAATGGACTAACCAACCTTTACACCGCAACTAATAAGATCTATTGTACCCCAATAGATAACCGTATCAAAATTCATCGTGCTGTCCTAGGATCCTAACAAAGGTTAATTCCAACTCGGTGAAGCACCATTCAGATCTCTGGGGAAAGTAATTGGCGTAAAATATGACCTACTGCTTCTTTATCCCCTATGCATAGTCGGTACACATCTGTAACATTACTGTAGTAAAAAATTGAACTTATATGGTATTTTTTTTAGAATAATAAAAAGCAATTAAAATAAACTTTCTATATGACACACATGATACAGTAAGAACATGTTTGCTTAAACTTCTCATTTCACATGTGTTTTGTTAGCAAAATTAATTTAATGGTTATCAGAATAGAAGTGTGTTGATTCCTTCTATTTTCGAGAAATTTTTCTTGATCTTTACGGCGTTCAACGATTTCATGGATAAACTGTAGTCTCCTTGGAACCCAAAGTTTTTGATTAACATTTATAGTAATCTCTCTGAATATCGATAACCCACTTCTCGTAAATTGTGTCCGTAAAAAATACATAGCACGTCTTTAAATTTATCGTAAATCTAAATCTAAATCGTAAATCTGTTACTTTTTACTTTGATCAACATGTGTTGTGAGAAATCGTCTATAACTTGAGCGTGACATTGATTAACTGGAATTCAGGAACGAACAGACAATGTATAAATTGATTATGACTTTGACCGTAAAGATATCAATAAAGCTGTTTGAATTTCTCATACTTGGAGGTCTGGTCTACAGGTCGAAACAATAAGCAACGTAAGCAAAGTCTTTTCTCGATCCTGCATCTCATTCTATGTTTGGCCATCACATACGTGATATTAATTTTTGGCTCTAGTCTCACGAAAACTTTGACGTTGTATTCTTGCAAGCTCATTTGTAGTATCTTTAGTATCCACGTCGGTATAACTTATGCCATATATCAGGGACACCGTGTTTGCACCCTCCATTTCTTATAAGAGCTAAGAAGAGCTGCTTTCACAGTTTGTAGTTTGTATTTTTTTGATTTAATCTGCACCCATCTATCTAGAACAATTTTATGTCAACACCATGAATCCTCTGTCAATGGTAAATACTTCTACCTAGAATATTGTTTTCAACTAATGGTTGCTAGCAATATGCTTTACCTCCAATACTTGTTAACATTTTTCATCTGTATGTGAACAGATAGATATCTGTGTATGAAATTTTTATTATTAATCCAGTCCAGTTACCATCTCGAGTGAGTATGATCCCAAATCGGAAACGAACGCATCAGTACAATTTGTGTCTTTCAAGTATAGGCTGTATCTATAGATGAACTTCTCGATGTACAAATGCAAAAGGGGTGGGGCAATGGGAACTTATATTGCTATAATTCTTCTTAGATTTCGAACAGACGTCAAGCAGTTAAGGTGGACAGTTTTATTTCTAATTTTAAGTCCGTTACGTCGGCCGTACCACAGGGCAGTCACCTTGGACCGATTTTGTTTTTGGTTTATATCAATGATATTAATGAGTGCTTTCTTCATTCCAATTTTTTGCAGTACGCTGATGATTGTAAGATCTTTTCTGGAATTGGATCCATGTCTGACTGTTTAACTGTTCAGCAGGATCTGGAACGTCTGTAAGAGTATTGCTTAAAAGATTACTTGTTTCTGAATTACGATAAGTGCTATAGTATCATATTCAGCAGAAAAAGATACCATATAAATTTTGAGTACCGTTTGGGAACACATTCGGTAAATGTTACTTCCCAAATTAGGAACTTGGGCGTTGTTCTTGATTCAAAATTGCTCTATTGCGGTAATGTTGATACGGTTATGTCTGAAGCCTCAAAAAGATTGGGATTTATTATTCGAGTATCACGTCCTTTTACCAATATCCAGACCATCATTTCCTTGTATGCAGCGTATGTTGGTAGTGTTTGGAATTTCACTTCGGTGGTTTGGAATCCCTCATACGCTGTATATATAGATCATTTGGAGGATTTGCAAAGAAAGTTTGTTAGATACCTGGCCCACAAATTTATCCTTCCGTTTTGTTCTTATGCCCAGCGTTGTTTGGTTTTTGGAATCACATCTTTAAGTGGTCGCCGAGGTGTTGCTGATATGATGTTCTTATATAGATTGGTTCGTGGTTTGGTTGATTCCATGGAGCTCGTGCGAGAGGTTCGCTTTAATGCACCGTCTTATGTAACCCGAATACAGCCACTTTTCTATCTACCTGCCTCTAGGTCTTTAGCTTATGCGTACTCACCCTTACTACGTTTAAAGCACTTTTTCAATACCCATTGAAACAATATTAATTTATTTATTGTCTCACCTCTCATTTTAGAAATATGTATGGAATTTGAGCGTAGTTGTTCTAGTGAGTTAGTTTTCTTTTTTTTTGTATATAAACTGATATAAATATTGTTTTGTTAGAGGATACTTGATTGGGGTTCCTCTCTGTATGTATCCCGAATAATAAAATAAAATAAATAAATAAAAAATAATTGTCGTGGTACTTACACAACTATCACGATATTCCAGATATCGCCAATCCAGTTATTCGATGTTTTCGTGAAATTAGCAACTGAAACATGTTACATATCGAAACTGTGTCCGCAATCAAAAGATTAACCACATTTACTTAGAATCAGTAAAGACTTTAAGGAGGTAGCCTAACCCAGTTGTTCGCTTAGATATTCTTGATAGATTTGATTTGGCAAACGTGTGGATTTTAGAGCCCACGCCTACATTGATAATTATGTCATCAATTGTTAATATCGCTGTAGTTACTTCCATGTGTCTGTCAAGTGCAACTTTTGCAAAATATTGAGTACTATGCTGTTACACATACATAAAATGTGCACATAGTCTTCAATAAAGATTTGCTTTTCCTACATTTTCTTGATACTTTACTCACCGAATTATGTAGGTACGAATAATGTTCCTTCATACTTAAATTACATATTATCTCTTAAGGTGGGTTCATGCAAAGTGTTTTAGTTTTAGTCATAGTCATAAGCGTTTGCTTTAGCTGTAGCTATAAGGAAAGAGATTGGTTCATGCAATATTTAAGCACACTACATTACAGGAGGATTTTGACATATAAACAGTAGTGCCACAACTCATGCCAAATTAAAAAAAAAAGAAATCGGAAGTGAAACTGTTTTGTTTATAATGAACAAAAAGAAAATTGTTGTCGCTGCTTGAGTAATGTGCTTGAATGCAGTTCTATTAATCGCACAAAGATTAAGAAATAAAAGACGATGGCGTTTTGGCAGAAGACCAATCAATAAAATTAGAGGGAAATTATGTCATTCTGATTAGAAACATGTTGGAGAAAGGGGAAGACGATTTGCAATTTTTTAAATATGTTTGCATGTCGTTCGAAGAGTTTAAGGAATTGTTAAGACTGGTTGAACCTTTTTTAGCAAAAACACCAAATAAAGGTGCAATTTCACCCGCTCAAAGGTTGATAGTAACCCTACAGTATGATTTTGTTTAATTTTATATTATAAACAAATTTTAATTAAGTAATAAAATTATTGATACATTCTACAAAAAAAAGCATATCCAACTGTATCGGGGCTGTTGATGGGAAACACATCCATATGCAAGCACCAAAAGCATCGGGAAGTGGGTTCTTCAATTATAAACATACCTTCAGCAATTTTAATGGCATGTGTAGATGCGAATTATGATTTCATTATAGCAGATATTGNGTTGGACAACTCTTGGGACTAGGACAAAAAGCATTGTAGTCGTAAGGTGTTGTATGAACAGTACCACTATAACACAATACCTTAACTTTTCACTCTTACGACTATGCCAACAACTACGACTAAAACATGTTGCATGAACCCACCTTTAGAGTCGCTGGTAAAACATGTAAGAGCAGGTACAATTAGATTTTATGAAAATTTCAAGGAGGTAAGGTTCAAAAAAGTTAATACATCGTACCAAAATCAATACCATTAACATTACCACCTTATAATCATGGAGTAATTAAACTGTTATGAAAAACATTTTCGCTAAATAATAACTTTTTTAGATAATGTTACCACGTATATTAATATAGACGTTGCTACAACAGAAAATTAACGCGAAATTAACTTTTGATTAAGTGTTTTGATAAGATAACTTAAACATTTTAGAAATAAGATTACATTAAATAGGTAACTGATTTTTACGTAAAATCAAATTTTCTTCTAAACGAATTTATAGATATCTACAGAAAATCACAAGACGTCACTAAATTATTCACGTTATCTATTTTAAGGTTGGAATAAACGTGATATAATCATTAAATTTGAACCACCTGTATATTTCATCATTATTATCTCGGTTGTTTGCTAAGATCAACACACCGTGTTTATATTGATTGTAGAGGATTTTTAATATAGATCGTGATTTTGAAATCAAATTAACCTTTATTTTTGTTACTTAAAAAAGATCAATCCTATTTTTTTTAAATCTAATTCAATTAATTTTCAGATGGAATAATCAATATAGATGTTGCAAATTGGAATGAAACCAATAATGTCTTTAAAATACGCGAAATATTACATGGTCCAACTAAAATTCATATTAAAAACGTTTACAATTTCGGTTTTTTCATTATCCAAGTACACAGTTTTTCCAATACTGTTTATTTATCTCCTTCAAATACTTCGGAGGATGATAATATTGGTGTAAACGGAACCAATATCGGTTTAGTTCAAATGATAACCACCGATGAATTTGATTTTTATTTAAACGGAATCGATCATACTCATGTTTTAATCGTTGTCACTGGATACGATATTAAAGGTAATTTTAATAAGTTATTTTTTAATCATTTTTTGTAATGTGTTTCTGTTTATAAAAAAGCTCCTATTCCTGGAGGTTGCAATTTAACGTTCGAAACTGAAGATGCTCCTTATCAAAAATTACACAGTAGTCAAGATTTAATAACATTAGATGCTCAACCACCTGGAGTATTCCCTCTTGCATGTGAATCTGTGAATATCACGATCGATTTTTACCATTTATTTTTGGAAGAACAAGATTTTACGTCGGAATCATATTTCTTGGGGATAGAAAAAATGTTAACTCCCGAAAATATGATAAAATATGGTCGTAAAATACCAAAAGTGACGGGCGTAGCCCCGATGAGACGATATTTTGTAAATTATTTAGGTGTAGGGGCGGTTTATGGAATTGTTACTGATTTCCATGGGTTCAAATCAGCTTACGTTCCCGCTGTATCTTATGGATGTGATATTAAGGATGATAATGGTTGTACAGGTCCAAGTAATTGAAACAAAGAAAATAAGTGTTAATTGATGTTTTTTAATTTAATTTTTTTATAGCGACAACTTTATGGAGGGTTATTTGTGGATTTATGGCGTTTTATGGATGTTTTTTGTGTTTTATGGGTCACAGATTTTTCCAGTTTAATTTGTTTTGTACTGGATTTATTGTTTCTGCGATATTAACTTATATTGTTATTTCTTATAGTAACTTAACAGAATGGGGTAATGAACGAATGCTTTTATATAAAAAAATTGTTGAAATTTTTGATGTTTTTTTAGAAACAATGGTAACTTTGGGTATTGTTGGAATAATTTATGGTGGTGCTTGGTTATTGATTTGGTGGAAACTTAAAATTCCAATACTTTCAGTTACTTTAACTTATTTTATTGCTGGGTTTTTAATCGGGGGTGTTTTCTATTATTCGGGACCAGGTATATATATATTTTTAGACGTTATAATTCTAAGATACTTGTTAACATAATTTTGTTAAATTAAATTTTTTAGCTGATTTAAGTTTATTCCGCTCCGATACCAACTTCTGGAGCGTTTTAATCGGAATAAGTTTATTAATAACTATTTTATTACTCATTATATCCCATTGGCCATCGAACATAATTGCTACCAGTTTTATAGGAGCCTACATCTTCATAATTCCTTTCGATTTATATTTTGGAGGAACGTTACGTTATGTTATTTTAAACGTAATCCATAGGGCAACTATTCAACATTTTAAATGGGCTGTCGTTAATCCACCGTATCAATCAACAGGTAAGATTAGTTTTAATAAAAAAGTCATATCAAGTAATTTAGTTAAGTGGCCTAGCCCAAGCATGTATAAACTAAAATTGTCCATAAAAAATAAATTGCATCATTTGTGACTTGACCTTTTTACTTTTGGACAAGATACTCAATAGATTTACTGGAAATGCAACAATCCATGCAATGGATTTGATTAAAGTAATTTATCTCAAGTTTCTCTTATGCTTGTTCAATTAAAAACATTTTTAAGCACCTAAAGATGCGATAATATTTTTGTAACTACTGTGATTATAAAAAATCTAATTTTAAACCGCTTTAAAATGATTACTTATATATAAAGGCTGTTGCGTCAATAGCTTCCTCATCGTGAGATGTATTACATTTATGCTGAAATCGTTAAAACGAAATCTGAACCAAAATAAACGTTTTAAAATAAGCTGAGGTAAATAATACGCCATATACACGTAGATGATGATAGTCGGTGGTACACCGCGTATTTCAAGTTTGGTCTGCATAAGGCACCAAGCTGAAAGTTGACAGTTTCGATCAACAGGCAGATTCAGAATACAACGTCAAAGAATGTTGAGAGAGTGAGAATAATTTTAACCACTAAGCTTGAACGTTCGGTTCGACGTCAGACAGAATCATTATGCACACAGAATAATTGCTGCGTACCAATTACAACCGTAAGGTTATGCCCAAGACGATGATTTTAATGCACGTATGCAAGTTCTACTACAAATATTGGCTAATAGAAATTCATATCAACTTCCTAAACCACCCTTGCATACATATGTTTTTGAAGAAGTCGTTAAACTTTTTGTAAATTCAAAATACCTTTTCCTTTCAAAACTACGGTTGTTGAAGATTAAAAAAATGTTGAGTGCCAACAAGACAATGCAGCTACCCAGATTACTCGTAATTTAATTAATCTTCTACGGAAGATTCAGATCTCTCTTCTGAGTTTTGCTATTTTGGCCTTGAATTCCCCGTACATAGTATGTTTCTTTTAACTTAACTTGAATACGAGAATGTATCTCAGCAATATTCATCAGCATGGACTATGACAAAAGAAAATGAGAGGCGACTAAAAATCGAGCAAAGAAGAATTCTTAGAAGGATATACGGAAAGAGAATTATATACCCTGCCAGATACAGTAAAAGTAATAAAGGCCATGTTAGGAGACAAGACAAACGTGTCCTCAACTTGATATGGGATGAGTCGGTCGCTGGGAAGACTGAGGATGCGGTAGAGAGATAATATTGCAGTGAATCTACAGACCAGTGGAACTAATGTTGGTCCACAGCAAATGGAGGTAAATTGCAAAATCAGCGAAGACCCACCCCGGATTGTAATGCTATGGAGAGGGAGAGAATTTATCAGCACAAAGTCCATCACTACTACCACTTCTGGACTCATACTTCTACTATACGTAAAACACAATTGGTCAACTGTACCAACACCTGATTTTGTTTGAGGATTTAATGGATCTGTCGATGTAAGCATTACGGCACATAGTTGAAAGTAAATTCTTTCTTAGGGACGTAAGAATGGAGGAATGGAGTAATGGAGGAAATAGTCTCTGAATAGTGACTACTGTGGTTTGTAGATGTAGAACTTCACACTGTCAATACTATCAACAGACTTACTTAGGCTGAGCCTTTATGTCATCCTGTAATATTAATTTTTACGGTCCCTTCCATATTTAGTGATTTACCACATCCCCTCTAAAGTCGTCCTGAGACGTCGGAAATGTTGCTGAATAACTACGGTGTATTCCTTGACTTCGTTCATAAATCTTGTGGTAAATCTCATACTGTAAAGTCAATGTAATAAGTTTGGAACTCCTTAAATAATCAGAGTATATAACCATGCGCATACTGTCTAAGGTATGAGTCACCCAATAGTTTATAATATGAACTCAAGTAAATAAATAATCATATCTAGTCAATGTTAAAGAAACCGCGGCAGCGTGATTTTAACGTTTTAACAATAAAAAAGACGATACGCGGTAATCAGTTAAAAATTGCTTTATCTACCAAGAGTACGGACGTATTAACTAAAAGTTAGGGTTGCAATTATTAAAAATTTGTTTTAAATCGTAACATTTTCATTTACTTATGTTACTGACTACAGGTATCATACATGTCTGTGATTTTAATGTCTTAAAAACATACAACTATGAAAGTTAGCGGATTTGGCTGTCGCAACAGTTCAAAACAGAACGATGAAGGTTTCTATCTAAACGCGAACACTTTTTGGACTCCTCTTCATGACCGATCGGACAACTAATGAAGAAAATTTGCTGGACACTGGTACTAATTCGTGATTCTCGTAGAATCTCTACACAAACGACTTCGTCATCACGACGTATGACCAGAAGACTCTAATTCTCTATCTTGGTTTCCGTCGGAATTTGGATAGCCCATCCATCCAAAAGTGGTTAGGCATTAATCCTGCATATACCCCCTAAGAAAGGCGAAACTGTACCTAGGAGACATCTACGCACTTCTGAACGATTTATTGCTGAGAAATCTGAAATTTAAATTGCAAAAAAACGTTAGAACCACAATCCTGTTAGCATTATCCAGCGTCAAATGTTCCATCGCAATCTTCGCATGGGATAAGTGCGATATAGTTATGATCTTGAAGCCGATTAGTTTGATTCCTCGAATCAAATTACATATACAATCTTACCTTAATGAATCTTCTCCCATCAACATCACACTTAACTAGAGAAAATAAGTATTTATAAAATCTTTGGGTTTGAAACTTGCCTGTGACTAGAGGGACTGGAGATGGTCAACTAGTTAATAATGCTTTTCTATTTTTATTTGATGAAATACGATACGAGATAAATGGTGTTGAAATAAATAGAAACGTAAAACCAGGAATTATATCAACTATAAAGAGATACGTTTCCTGTAGCGATAATGAAAGTATAGTGCTATAATCAGGAAGGTGGATTCCTAAACCGCAAAATATTGACTCTATTTGACTGCTTACACCGATCAATTTATTTTGTAATTTGCTAAAGATTACAACAAAGATCATTCAAAATGATTATAATTCCTACTGTATGAATGGTTCAAATAAAGGTACGAAAAAATGAAAATATAAATAAAATCGATAAGATGCTACATTAGATTCAGCCAATATTAACAGTATTAAATTGCACTTCTATTCAACTCATTATCTATTCGATAATCTAATTTTATCTATGGTTCAAAAACGTTATGAATATGCTTACAACATGTACACAAACTACAGAAAAAGTTATTATGGAGGAAATAAAATGGGAGAACCATTACTTTAGTGACATCTCCACAGCCAAAGTTAGACCTTTTGTCACAATTGTATTTGGATTAACTATCACACCCAAGAATGAATGCATTGGTCCAAAAAATATATTAAAATGACATAAAAACTGACTAAAATGCGTGAATAGATTTTCGAGCAGTTTCAATTAACGGCTTTTCAAATAACAACTGCATACTGGCAACCCAATACTTCTAAACAGCAGCTCACAATCACCAATTCAAAGATTATGTTTCAACCCACTGAAATACATATTGATATTCCACCAGCATTGCTGAGTTTTGTTTTATATGACAATTACAACAGATATCTTCGATGCAGCGAATCTATTAGACCTGTTAAATTCCTGATCATTCGAAAGATGTTTAAAAAAAATCTGAGACATTTTCAACAAAAAAGGAATGGACAGGGAAATAAAAAGCCTATCTTCTTTATAAAGCAGGATACCTGTTTGTATATCTGGATACGCCTGGGTTGTGAATATTTCACTTTCATTGTACACCATATAACAACAGTCGTATTGAAAGGACATAAACTTGTCCATTCCTTCTCTCTCACTACCATAATCAAGCCCTTAAAGTGATTTAGCAAACAGTTTTTCAAAACACTCAATCAGATTTGTTAGATCGATTGATTTGAATGTTCGACTAAACCTGGAATATCTTAATGTGACTAAAAGTTTATGAGTGTATTTTTTCGCCTGAAAAGAAAGGTCTGAATAATTTCAAGTTCTGTGGGTACCAATACTCTTCCAAAAGTCATTGTAATGTAAAAGTCATACTTGTTACGTGCAACGATGCCCAAATGGAGATCAACAATGTAGATGCTACACGGTTGGTAGACTATGAAAACAGTGTTACTCTATCACATCAGAAATATTTGAGATAAGCTACACTTATTATATCTTGAAAATGTTGGGTATCAGATTCCCATTTGGTTTCAAATCGAACTTTGGCGCTACAAATGAGTTTATCAAACATAAAGCACAACTAAGCTAGTCACTAGTAAGACATTGAGTAAGCAGTTTTGAAATCGATCGGGAACCTAATATCTTTAAGATATAATCAGTGCAGCTTGTCTTAAATATTTTGCCTCAATCACAAGCAGTCTCGTCTATAAATATATCTTCAAACGGTGTATAATCCCTAAATAGAATTTATGGCAGTTACTGGATTAAGGCGGTTTGCAAGCGACTCCAACGCCATGAAGATCGTTAATTTGTATCTTTCGTCAGCTTCCAAATTTTGTAATCATTGGACACTGGTTAACGCGCTTAATACAAATACGTCTGATATAGTAGTAAATAAATATTTCCCAATAAATGTAATTAATTAGCACGAGACTATACACAGATTAGAGAAAACTGACTTTCACTAATTTGTTTTGACGACAGTCTTTTATAGCTTGGAGTCGTAATGTGAGAATATAAGATTATATGAGAATATGATATTTCGTTTCATTCTAAAATCGGTTTCTTTATAAACAACGGATGTACAGGGTGGGCCAAATTGGACACTTTTAAAAGGAAACTCCTCTCTATAAGAGATAGAGGAAAAATGATATCAGTGTCTGAGGCTCGATTTTTGTAAGAAACTTAATGGCGAAAACCGATATCTCGATATTTCTTACGGTTGCAGAGATACAGGTGTTTTTCAACAAAGTGCATTTTGGAAAAGTCGTCATAACTTTTTTCTTTTTGTTAAATCTTTCTTTCTGTGAAAACATTTCCAAAGCAACTTTTTTTGTAGAATTCGATGGAATAAGTTAGCTTTTCCTCAAAGCAATATTTTAGTAGTTATTGACATAAAAATGATTTTTTTTTAATGGAACACCCTATATATTTTTGCAAATTCGACGAAAGCATAAAATTTCCTTTCCACAAATTTAGGACACTTGATATTTCGTTGCAGTCTTCTTTGAAATAAACAACTTGGAAAGTTTTAAGATTTTCAATTGTGTACTAGTGGGCTAATGGGCTTTGACGGCGTTTCGATAGAGCAAATGCATTGTTTATGAGTATCTATCTGCCAAATTTTGATTCAAGTTGTGTTAGTGCTTATCATTAGATTGATTGTTATCAACTTTCAAAATAATATCATATAAAAATTATGCAAAATGGGACATAATAGTATGTTTTATACAATCTGGGGAGAATGCAGAGACTGCAGGAAATTTATATCATGAACGATATCCAGAGAGGCGGCAATCTTATAATGATACCTCTTGGAAGATTGACCGTAGCTTTTGGTGATTGTTGGTTAGGTCAGTATTTCCCAAAGTTGTCTGGACCACGACCCATCGTAAAAAAATGTTCAATGTTCGGGACTCGCCTAACACAATAACCACATTTATATGGGATAAAGGTGGATTATAGGTGGGCTTACTGTAAAAACTGACCAACGTACCCTTGCCTAATATGAAATAAAGAAGCAGCGTTGTTTATTGCTACTACAACATCTTCTCGATAATAAAATAATATCGTAACTGTGCTAAGCTCTGTTCAATAAAAAAAAAACATCCAGATTAATGAGATTTTTATTTACTAAATATAAGATGTGATAATTCAGTGAGAATGATGTATTTGTTTCCTATTTCGTACCATTAGCGTCGATTTCGATTTTAGTTACTTTTAATCGCAATGAATTTGTCACGTCCAATTTATTTCGGCACTTAGTTTTAATATGAACCATGGCTGAAAATCCTACTTCACATAAATAGGAGGTAGTGAAAGGATGAGGCCTTTCATGGCTTCATCAAATAAACAACTTCAGCAAGTGAAAGCCAAAATTTCGTTAATTGCTTACGATTAAAGATGGTATTTAGCGATGTGTCTTCTGATAAGTCAATAAGTTCTTCACTTGCTTTTAGTAATAATCCAGTTGGCAAGTTGCCTTGAAACGGATTACAAATCCAGCTCATTGTATCGAACTTCTTTATCTCTTCCCCAAAATAGACGTCAAAGTTATTTGTCAACTCCATTAAATGAGTGAAATGGCAGACACTACATTGATATCAGGCTGTATTTCGCTCTCTATGATAAATTTTTCGAAACGTTTCAAAACAATCATATTTGCCTTCCTCGATGCATCTCTTCCACAAGAAATTTTTTGATGAACACTCGAATTTTATCGTGAACTGCAAAAATGTCTGATCCCTCTGATCCTTGCAGATACAAATTAAGTTCGTTTAACTTTGAAAAATATCCGCCAAGTATGATAGCTTGAGAATAAATTCTTTGTTCAGTAAAGATATTCTAAAGAAATTCAAGATATTGATTTTTTCCTACCAAGTAAACTGTGACTTCATTGCGTAATTCCACTAATCTTGTGAAAACTTTTCCTCTATATATCCAATATACCTCTGTATGCAAAAGAAAAGATTTATGAAGACTACCCATCTCTTCGCACAGCTTTTGAAATAAACATGTTTGTAAGGGTCGTGTTTTGATATAGTTCACAATTTTCACAGAGGTATTTTATACTGTTTTTAAATTATCAAGCAATGATTCTATGCTGGCTGCAGTGAGTCCACGAAGCATTGGGATTTCTTTCAAGAACCCTTGTGACCACACTGCTATTTTTACCACACATAGCTCTAGCTCCGTCAGTGTACACGCCAAGACAGTTCTTCCAATCTAAGCCTTTTGTCTTTATATAAGAATGCATTTCTTTGAAAATTTCATCCGCCATTCCACGACTAATTGGTTTGTACAACAAGATATCTTCATGCGCGTCATTTTGCCATATATAATGCACGAAATGAAGTAACTGAGATAGGCCTTACACATCGGTAGAGTCATCCCTTTACGAATTAACTCATCCTCTGCCCATTGGAACATCTCGTAAATTTTTCGTGCAACGGTATTGTTGGAAAGTGGATACGTTGGATTTCCTTTACCTCATTTTCTCTAAACATCACACCAACAGCATCTTTAATTGATGGCAACACTAAATTCTCGCCAATGGTATGAGGTTTACATGCTCTGGCGATTCTCAGACTAATAAGATAAGTGGCATAAGTAGCATTTTCATTAATATTTACAAAATATGAAAGAATATTCTTTGTAGGCTTCATATGCAATAATTTCTTTTGAATAAAATCCACCGGCTTATGTTTTAAATGGGAGTGCTTCCAGGATCGATTGTATCTTGATTCCAGGTGAACCCTAATTTTAGGTACTCGAGATCATATTTTCTCACAATTTTTCGACGTTTTGGTTCGTGTGAATTCGTAGAGGAAGCCTCATCAGGCTCAGTAACAACTTTTTCATCCGAAATAACATCGTCTATTTTTTCATCACTTTGTGCATTATTTATTGGCCGCTTTAACCACTCGTTCATTATTATAATATAACACAGTTATCGAGGTTAGAGACAATAAGGTCTTATTCTAGGAAGTACTTCACGAATTGCCGAACACTACAACTAAGCACAAAGGTATCACGCGATAAGCGCAAAATGAATTTAAAAAACCCGAGTTTAGTACTTAACTAAACTTTAATCAGAGAACGAAACGTTAAAACTGCTAGGTAGCTAGTTCTTTTTAGTGTAGATTGTGAGTGATTTGAACCGGCTGTTTTTTATTAGCAACCAATTTTTTTTATTAGAACTAGTATGTATTAGAAGGTTGGTAGTAAAATTAGTTCCTAACAGTTTCATGGCCCAGCTAATATCCGATCGCGACCCACACTTTGGGAAACAGTGGGTTAGGTAATCAAGGTTCTATTCGCTGGGCGGATTGGTCACCGGACCTAATACTTATGGATTTTTTCCTTTGGGGAAGATTGAAAAATGTTATCTATAAACAGCCAATAAGTTCCCGACAGTAATTAGAAGCCGCAGTTGTGAATACTTTTGCAACACTTATATTAGGCCCAATAAGCTTATCAACTCGGCAAAAAGGGACTAAAAAAAGATGTCGACTGTGTATAATACAAACCATTTTGGGGGCATTTTGAACATTTTCTATAGAACAAGGGTTTACTTTTGTTGTTATTTGTTGCCATATATTTATTCTTGTTTTATAATAAGATAAGTTTTATTTGGTAATTTAATCTGCTTTTTGTTTATGTTTTAAGTCATTGTAACCAACTATCTTGATACTACTTATAAATATAATCTCGTTTTTCTTTTATTTCCAAAGCCTACTTTTTCAAAATCTGCACACATAAGTTTTAAAGTTGTGTATTTCAAAGAAGACATTAACAAAATATCAAGTGTGCTATATTTTTGGAAAGGAAATTTTATAAATTTTTATTAATATTGCTTTGAAGGAAAATTAACTTACTCCATCGAATTCTACTTAAATAGTTGACTTTTTAAAAGAAGACTTTTCGAAAATGCACTTTTTAGAAAAACTCCCTGTATTTCTGAAGCGGTAAGAGATATCGATATGCGGTTTTCGCCATTAAGTTTCTTATAAAAATCGACCCTCAGACACTGATATCATTTTTCCTGTATCTCTTATAGAAATAGGAGTTTCTCTTTAAAAGTGCTCAATTTGGCTCACACTGTACGTTTATAACATTACTTTTTGTTACTTACCTTTTTTTGTAACCATATTATTTTGCTTCTTTTTTTAGATGTAACCTTTATGATTTCAATACTGTTAATGGCCTTCCTGGGGATGTATATTCAATGGAGACATATTAAGGGTCGAGCTCCCTTCCCTCCTTCAACAAATATTTTGGATCGTGGCAATTTTGGAAGGGTGTTTGTTGAAAGAAACGGGAGAAATTACAATCAAACGGAAAACACTCCGTTACTTAGAAATATTGAAAGAAACGTTTATGGTTGAAGTAGTTAATCTTCATATTTAGAGGAGATTGTAATCTCTTCTTATTTTCTTTTTGTAGTTTATAGGAATATTAAAGAATGTGATTGTAAAGGCTGAATATAATCGAAATAAAATTAGATCTTTTTTGTCCAGAATTTTTTTATTTCATTACTAATTTTTATCGTTTATACACACTGAGACAGCACGACTATTTATTATTATTACTAAGTAATAAGTGTTTACAATAAGGAACGGGAAGTGTTTTAAAATGTTTGTTATGATTTTAATTCGAATAAAATTTTTTTCAAAACACTTCCCTAACATAATCACAGCGATCATAAAACCTATCAAGACGTAAAAAAGATTGTTAAAAACGACAACGTAAAACGGAAAATCGCTCTTCAATTTAACACATTACACCATTAGCTATTGCAGAGAGAGAAGGAGATAAGATTTTTTCTGTTTACAATTAATTAATTAATCATTATTATTGCTATTTTCTTTCCATCTTTATTTTTTTGTTATCGGTTATTGTGGTTCTTCCTCATTTATTTTTCTTTAACTGTTAATTTTAACAACTTACTACGAACTCGATGCGATAAAATATGCAATATCATTGATTCGGGCGAATGTACAATTATTAATAAGGTTGCTTTATCAACCCCCTATTCTTTTAAAATCCCTACATTAATCACGTTTATAATACAATATGCACATGTTTTTATTATTATTATGTTTTCTTTTTCATTAATGTTAAAATCTTATTCATTTTTCTTTGAAAATCTTTTTAAATGACGTCGTTTTTTGGTTTAATTTAATTTTTTTCAGAATTTTTGTACGTTAAAGTACCCTGCAGTTCCTCCCTAAACCGGTTACTTCCTTACATTCGTTCACAGGTGGCGCACGCTTAATTAAGAGGAAGATTCCGGATCTTGGTTGGAATTCGTAACACTCGGCGGCGTCACGGTTTCATGCAGGGCCGGGCTTTCCTGATGCACCAGTAAACTTGGTGGCGGAAAGCCGAAAAGTTGAGATCACTGAATCCGGGGCCAATAATTCGACGCTAGGTTCGATGTCAAATCAGGCGTTTGCGATGGTATTTGTACCGGAACTGATACACCGGCAGAAATTACACCTGAAAAAAATTAAATCAATTTTTTTTAATAGATTGAATTAAAAAGAATTAAAAGGGAGTTAGTTATAACTATGATAAATTGGATTGGGTGGGTAGTTTAAATGAATTTATTCGGCCGTACGAACGGTGGAGGTCCGAGGTTAAGTGGCCCACCGTGGGGGTCAAACTCGCGTGAGGGTGGTAAACCCCCCGTAGCTAGTAGCGGTGATGGTGGTGGTGCCAAAAGGGCGGCAGAAAGACCGTCTGGCAAACGAACCTTGCAACCAGAACAACGAGTGTATCCCCACCTCCACTTAGTTCGCACATTATTGAGCGCCAGCCGAGCCGAGAATTGGAAAACCGCCCTTCTACCACCCCCTTCAACCCCCGCGGCCAGCTTTTACCCTCTTCCCCACACCACCCCTCTTCTTGTGCCGCGCCGACACTTTAAACTGATCACGGACAATGAAATTTAAAGGGAGAACTTCGGTCTCAAGACCTCTGACCTCTCTCAATTTAATATTTTTGAAGAACAATATTTTTTTTTGATAACAAGATTCTTACCAGTTCCTGTTGATACCGGAACAGATGTAGGTGTTCCTGCTGGAGCATAAGAAGGATGTGAAGAAGGTTGCGCGTGAGCAACTGCAGGATTACATGCTGCGGCAGCTCGAGTATTATAAGACGAACTTAAAGAGTGCAAAGGATCGTGAAACATATACGGATAACCGGTGGCTTCTCGTTGTTGTAAGCAACTGCTGCTTAACCCACTTGACATAGAACTAGAAAAAAAGAAACAAATCAAAAGATTAATAAAAATCAATTAAAAAAATTGAAGAGATTTTAAACCCCGATATAAAACCGAGGTTGTAAGTGAAAAACGGTAGCTTATAAAGCCCTCAAAAGCTTCGGACGGCATCGGATTTACTACACACTGACTGGATACAAATACAACCGACTCTTGTTACGTCGCTGTCAGTCAAAAAGGTATCCCGCTGGGTGCGGTATTAAGTAGCCGGAGAGAAGAAGAGATATGGAAAGGAAAAGGATGGAGAGTGAGTTTCAGATTGGGAGCTTCTATCCTGCGGAGTGCCGCAGGATACTAGACAGAACCGACGAGGAACCTCGACGGGGACGAGACAGGACTGGACAGCACGGTAATCCCGTCGTGGCCGTTGACATGACGGCCTCCAGGAGCCCCGGATTCCTACCGGACACCTTTGTTCTGCCCCGGAATACAGATGCTGTAAGGTTGATAGTGTCAACCAGTTCAAAAAGTTTCGTGAAGGGAACAAGGTACGATTATAAAATTATATTTTTAATGGGATTGAATAATTCCTAAGAATAAAAAATCTTACCTGTATGTATCCGCCATAGTAGCTATTGGTTGCGGAATCGATGAATACATAGAGTTAAAACCAGAATTAATGGGTAATCGGCCCGCAGAAACCGGTGGACTAACAGCAACTTGTTCGACTGCTCTTCTTTGGTTTCTTAACTTTTCTTCACGTCGCCATTTTGCCCTCCTATTACTAAACCAAACCTATAACAAAAATGAAAAAAATTCAAAATGTCATCAAAATTCCTCCATTAATTTTCTTACAACTTCTTTATTTCTCAAAACTTTTAAACGATTTCATCAAAAATTTTCTTAAATACAATTTGTATTAAAGTATTTAAGATTAATATTAAATCTGGGGTGGTTTTAATTTGAGAATTTGAACTGGGTTTTGAGGGGGTAGAGTTGAGTTGGGTGAGTGAGTTTAAAGTAGTAGAGGGATGATCGATACGGGGGAGAGAAACGAGGCTCGAAAACATGCGTCAACAGCACGCCGGATCCAATTCTCGAACCGGCCTCGTCAATTTGCCCCTCTTCTCGCCGAAAATTCATCCCCCGCATCCCTAACACAAGCGCGGTGGTGGCGGCAGACGGCTCGAACGCTTATGTCTACACAACCCCGGTGTGCAAACATTATTTACATGGAACGATAAATATTATTGCTACTCCCGGTTGGCCACCATAAAAGATTCCCTCTCAACGAAAAGTGAAGTACAGACGTATTCATGTAATAAGAGGGGAGAAGCTACCTGACTCTAAATTAAAATTACTTATAATTTCTTTTTTTAATCAAACAAAATTAATGGAAATCTCAAAGGAGTATTAAGAATATCAAGTACTAGTCATTTTTATATGTTTTTCAAACTACTTTGAAATGATTTGTAAATGCAAAACTGCAATTAGAAAAGGAGAAAGTTTATGTTGGAATAGGGTAAGGTTGGATTGGGAAAAAACTATCAAATCTTTTAAACTAAGCCAATTCTTAACCCTTAAATGCATCATGTTTCCACATGATAATAAAATTTACTTCAAAAACCTAGTTTTATACCGTTTGGTGTTAAAGATGCGTTACTTTCCGTAGATCCTAATACTTTTCACTGACTCCGAATAGCTCGGAATAGCCAACAATATCTTCCAAATATCTTGCAAACCTTTTCGTTGTTATTGACTTTTGAGGATCCTAAAACCTCACTATTTAAGGTTGCAAAAAGTTTTCAGTACATTCTAATATTTCTTAGTGACTCTGAATGGCGCCGAATAGCTTCTAATATTTACCATTATCTCCCAATATCTTGCAAAAGTTAACAAAGGGCTATTAATAGGTTCCAATACTTTTCATTTTTGATAGCTCCAAGTTGTTCTCAATATCTTGCTCTTTTAATGGCCTCCAACTCTATGTTATGAGGTGCATTATAACGTCTTTCGCTGTCTCTGAAAAGCTTTCATTAGCTAGCAATGGAAGCTTTCTATTTTAAAAACATTCAACACCTCTTAGTATTCTCACCATATCGTAATGCTCTCGCTAATTCCAAATAGCTCCCAAAAGCTTTCCGTTTTCACTAGATCCAAGTTGTTTCCAATACGTACATTTTAAATTCTTCTCAGTGGTAGTCAAAATCGTACTACCGCCGAATGTGATCCATTACCTTAGCTCCCAGATCCTCTAAATGGCTAGGAGTACATCACAAAGTTTCTCACTGACTTCTAATAGCCTGTACCTCATGCTTTGATGCGCTCCCAAAGCTTCCAATGGCTCTTAATTACTCGGCAGTGAGAACATCATAATGTGTGTCACTAATTTCAAATAGCTTACACCATCTTATGATGTTGTTGGTTTTTAGTTGCTTCATTTTTAAAAGCTTCGAATGACTCATAGCACGTTGCAATATCTCTGTATACATAGCTCTCAAGTTTCTACTAATATCTCAAACTTTGAGAAAGTTTCAATCCCTCTCAGAGGTTCCCATTTGTTCAACGGCTTTTCAAAATGCATGCCCTTTCTTTACCGATTTAAAATTACCCTCAATACCTTTCAGTTTTACTGGATTTAAATTACTTCTAATACCTCATGCTTTTAAACCCCCTAATACCTTTCTTTATTCTTAACATCTTTTTCCAAATGACTGTGTGATGCCCCCACGGATTCTAAATAGTTTGCAGTATCTTTCGTTGTTGCTGAAACGTTCTCGCTTGTAAAAGCCTAAATGATTCTTAGTACAACCCAAAGTTTGTCGCAACTTCAGAATCATTTCCAACAGCTAAATAAGGTAACTTTCAATAAGGTCCAACTTGTTATGTTTATAAAATGGCTTCCAAACTTTTCATGTTTCTAGGGCTCCCAATCGTTTCTTACGGCTGTGAGAGTATCCTAATATCTGTTTGGTACTCTGAATAGCTCATTTTTATTTGCTCCCAATATTGTATGCCTTCAGATACTGCCAATACTTCTCAATGGCCCCCAATTGCTCTCAAAAGCTGTCAGTGTGCCCCAATACTTTCACTTTCTCTATATAGCTTGTAATACCTTTTTGATTTTAAAACTTTTAAACTCTTTTAAAAACTCTCGATAACAACGAATACTTACTAATGCTTCTTAATGGCACCCAATTCTACAAAATGGCTATTAGTACATCAGAAAGTTTCTCACTGAGTTCAAAGAGCTCCTAGTATCTTACTGTCCTTATTACTGACTCATTGGCTACCAGAATCGCTCACTTTTAGTAGCTAGTTCTTAATCCAACATACTCTTAATGCGCTCTTCTGCCATATGCTTTGAAACGCTCTCAATGGACCCAATTCAAATAGCTTGTAGTATCTTACAATATTATTGGTTTTTAGTGGCTCATTCAAGTTTCTCCCAATATGCCTCTCACTGATTTCAATCTGCTTCCAATACCTTTCGTATTTACCGAATCCAAGTTATTTCCAATACATCATACTTTTGAACACCTCCAATACCTTTCAATAATTCCAAATTGCTCCAAATAACCATGAGATGCCCTCCACTGATTCTAAATAGTTCGCAATAATTTTCGTTGTTGAAAGAATTATTGTGGAATAACCTTTTCCACATTTTATAAGTCCCAATTATTCCCAACGACTCGGCTGTGAGTACATTTAAATGTCCCTAACTTACTCTAAGTAGCTCCTATTACCTTTCATTTTAATTATTTTCCCATATCTTATACCAAGGTATTAGATCGAAGTGTCTGGCAACACATTTGCTTCTAAAGCTTATTAATGGGTTTTAATGACTCCCAGCAATTCCCCGCGCATCTTAATATTTCTCACAGATTACATACTATTCCAAGTGAATTTGAATGATTTCGAATTAACTTGCATCTTTCTGAAGAAGCTGTCTCGCACTCAATGACTTTGAAGTAAGTTTCTTCAATACATACACTTTTTAGTTTAATTTAAGGGTTATCATTGAAATAGAAATAAGGTGTTTATTGGACTTGGGTTGAATAAAGTCTGTCGGATTTTAAAAATTTAAACATATTTGGATTGAAACATAAAATTAATTTTGATAAAATTGTAATTTAATGTAAAAAATATTTATAATTAGTAATTACTTAAATTTTTTTTGCTTTCCAAAAAAGATTTTGTTTTAAATTTTGTTTCAAAGCCGAATGAGTTTTGACATAAATTTTTTTTTTGTTGAAAATTCGTTCAAACGCGTAAAAATCCACGTTACGGGCACCTTTTACGTATTCAAAAGGTTAAATTTTAACTATGCAAACTAGTCCATTGTTGGGTCCGATGTAAAATTGAAACGACCGGTCGGTTTCGAGTTTTGAGAGAGGGTAGGTTTTTCCACCTCCAGTCCGAAAAATTGCGGCTGGAACGGGTTAAAAACGTTCGTGTGTGGAGTTCGTTGCTGCTGCCGCGCGTCAAACGTCGAAATGGCGAAATAAAAGTTTTAATTCGCTATTTAGACCGAAAAAAGGCCGGGGACGATTTAATATCAATAGAGCGCGATTGAAATTTTTTCGCATTTTTATTTTACATGCGGCGCGTTCCACTTTTTTTTTCGATATTTTCAAACCTCCCTCCCATCATGTACATACGATTTTTTTGTTGAGTACGCTACTTTTTTTATAGTTGAAGGGGGGGCGGGGGAGTTTTATTTATTTCCAAGCGCGTCATTCTTCTTTGTCAAACCGGCTGACGTCCAAACGAGAACCAAAAAAAACAACGTATAAAAAAATTGGAGAGAGAGAGGAATCAAAAAAAAAAGAAAAAAAAAAAAGAAGGAATCGCCAGTGGAATTATATTGTTTTGTGTGCCAGCAGCGAACGAATTGAAATATGGATCAAGTCTCGGCAATAAAACTTCTACCGCTATATATATTTTTTATGGGGGAGGACGTGAGTTTTTCGGACATGCTCGTACCGGTTCGCAATTGCTTCTGATTTATAGTTTTGTATGGAGAAAACAGAACGGCAAATTGGATCTAGTATATCTCTAATAATCTTTTCGAATAATCGACTACACCTTTTTATTAATTTATTATTTAATAGAAATAACTCAAAACGTCCCAGTTTTTTGATTTAAAAAAGCTGTTACCTGGATACGTGCCTCAGGCAATCCAATTTTTTCAGCTAGCCTTTCTCTTGCAAAAACATCCGGATAATGCGTCCTTTCGAATTCTATAATAATAACAAAAATAATGATGGCCATAGAATAATGATTACAAGAACATTTTTGTTACCTTTTTCCAAACTATCTATTTGCTCGTTTGTAAACGACGTTCGATTCCTTTGCAATTTTCTTTTTAACCTCAACCTAAGTTGAGAATCTTCATCACCAGAAGAATTATGTTCAGAATTCCCATCAGACGTATTTTCGTGCATAGCTTCGGCTGAAACATAAAAAAAAACGTATTTGAAATTTTTTCTTATTTATTTATTTATTTTTTTTTGAAAATGTGTCTTCTTCAAATCATTCAGTGTTATGGTAAAAAGGAATCTGGAGAAAAGTAGAAACACAAAGAGAGCCGACAACGGGGTTGCCGAGTCATCCAAGTGACAAACCGGAGCTGACGTGCCCTCAGATTAGAGAGCAAGAAGAAGAAATAATCCGGTGAACATCAAAAATCGTTCTGTCGGCGCGACTCTGAAAAGGAGGAGAGGAGGCATAGAAAGAACGTACCAAAGAACTAAAACCGAAAGGATTTTTTTAATAACGAACCGGTCATCACGTTTCACTTTGTTGTTATTCATCAAACCCTTTAGAATTAAGAAAAATTACTATCACCATTAACTAAAAATTATTTTCTTTTTTTATGTTCTTCAGTCGGTTATTAAGAAGTAAAAAAAAATAAAAATTAGTATCATGTCATGAATACCAATGGAATTAACTTAGCCCATTATGACCCACGATAATTTGTTAATCATCGACGTATGTTGGAACTATTGTTTAAGGAATAAGCGTGGGATTAAGAAAAAGACCCGAAATGATTGTAAATGGTAATCTGGAATTGTTATTTCAACTTAAGGAATGGAAAGTTGTCGAAAATAAAAACCGATGAAATTTTGGCGTATATTTGGATGCAATAAGATTTTTGCTGTATTTCAAAGAATTTATAAAAGATTTTCATGGTAATTTTTAAGAATTGACTAAGATTTCTAACATTTTCTCGATTTTTCATGATATGTACGAATATTGAAGAAATTCTGGTATTTATTTGGATGCATCAAGATTTTGAAGGTATTTTTAGTAATTTCAAATAGATTTCCTTGTATTTCCTAGAAGTTTGCAAGGATTTTCGAAATATTTCCAAGAATTCTGTGATCATCTTCACAGATATTCAAATATTTCCAACTATATAGACGAATTTTAACGAAATTCTGAGATTTATTTGGATACATCAAGATTTTCAAGGTAATTCCAAGAAGTACTTAAAGATTTCCATGAATTTCGCGAAAATTTTCAAAGCGTGATTAATTTTCTTACAATTTTCTGTGTTTTACTTGAGCTGCATATGCGTTTTCAAGACTTCTCGATTAATATCTAAGAGTTTCAAGATGATCTTCACAGATATTAAAAAATTTCCAAATGTATCAACGAATATTAAAGAATTTCTGACATTTTTTTGCATTAAGAATTTCAGTGTTATCAAGCATTTCTAAAAGATTTCATGTACAATCTGTGGAAGATCTTTCATGGACTTCCAAATATATACCAATCGTCAAATTAGCCTGGTAACTATTTTTAGCAATATATTAAACAAAATCCGTTAACAACACTGTATTTGCGATCTTATTTTTAGACATTTCGAACCGATTGATTTGATAAAGGTAAAAGTATCCACTTGGTAGTATTCATAAAACTATGGTTATTATTCTACCATTCATTCACCAAGATGCTTCTATCCAATATCATTGAATGGAAGAAGATGGTTTCTATCATCCTGTTAAGGTTGCAATTCCTAGATAATAATCTAGGCCCAACCTTAAATCTGTTATATACTGCTAGCAGGTTAACTATCATTTTAATAAGGTGAAATGTTGATTATTGGGCTTAAATAATTCACAGCTCAAAATTGCAGCTGATTGCTTCTATTAAGAAATAGTGTTCCAACGTTCCATATGAGTTCAAAAAGATTTAATTAACTCAAGCAAAACTGCCTAAATCGATATTGGGAAGATTGGTGTGTTACGATAAGGCAACGTGGACTATATTTGTTGCAGAAATGACAATCCTTAATGGAAAGCACTTAGACCAACTCAAAAGAGCTGGTGTTCCAAGTAGAAAAGACTGTACAGAATAAGGGTAAAGAATTAGACTTACTCGTCTTGAAATTTCGAACTTCAACTTTCCAGTGTATAGGTTAACATAAACTGTTGATCAGAACCACAATCATTCATCAGTAGTGAAAGAAAGAATCATCATCGTCATGAAATTCTCCTCATCCTGTCAGAAAACTGTTTACAGCAGAAATTGGTGTTCTAGCTCGAAGAGCTGTTTAGATAGACAATCAGATCAACACAAAAAAAATGAAAATAAGGAGAAATTTCAAATACAATTCAGAGAGAGTTGCAGAAAAAAATATAAGAAAAAGGACCGTCTCAATGAAAAAGGGATTGTGTAAAGCGGTTAATAAATGCCAGTAAAGCTTATAAAACTTTAAGGAAGGAACTTGGATTGCCGAAAAGAACATAAAAGCGAGAACTTTATTTTTTCTTATGTAACCAAAAATTATGGTCTGTAAATATTTCTTTGTTGCAACGTTGGACATAACTGATGACACATTCTATGGAAGACAAAATCAAAAGCTAAATACAGGGCAGTGTCCAAAGATAGAGAACGAGTCATGGCTCGCTTAGTTGATTCATTTATTACATGTGGCATGATTAATGAGAAGGTAAAAGAGATGTAATTGAAGTAGGTACATGTTTATTAATGTACCTTACAGAGAAAGCTGAAATCTGCCATAACGACGAACTTGGAATTACTTTCTATTCCAATAGTTGCATTGACAAACAAAAAAATAAGTTTATTGTCACAAATGGAATGCGGAGATATACAGAGAAGAAAGTAATCCCAACATTTCTCGAAGTGAAGAATTGACTCAGCTTCAGTTCGTAGAATCTTGGTCAGAACTTCTGCGCGAGAGACTTCTAGGTGAAAGTTTTTCCAGTTTCTATCAACATTTCTAAAGTTCCATGTCGAAGTAGGGCTGGAATAAAGCGAATGGAATAACTATGACGTAATTAGAACGCGAGATCCAGTAAGGAGCAGGCGACAGTTATGGGGTGGTTTCAATAAGTTGACACTTTTTTTTGGAGACACAATAACATTGTTGAAATCGATCAGTTTTCTCCTCTACATATCTCATTAATAATATGTCACATCAAAAAATGTTCCTGAATAGGAAAGGTAGTGGCTAATTGATGGAAGAAAAAAACAAAGTTTGCCGAAAGAAATACATTGAATCTGAACCCTAAAATACCTACATTGTATATTATTAACTACAGGTTGAAAATCATTGATTAAAAAATCCAAAATAATATCGTTTATCACATCGGTTATTAAGTAACTTGAGAGAAAAAAGTACTAGAAAAACTATAACTTAAAAATTACCATCACCCTACGCAAAATTATGCAAATCTAAAACTCCCCGGATTTTCCGGGCAGCGGAAAACATAAACAGCGGACGCTAAGCGACCAGGTCCGGAGAGTTGTTGGAATGAAGAGGAGGAGATGGAGAAGAACCAGGGGGAGTTGATCGGTGCAGAGGGGGTCGAAAGAGAGATTTTCTCCGAAAATTACAAGCAAAAGACGGAGATAGGACGAAGAAGGGAGGAAAAGCGGCGTCGGCGGCGGCGACGGTGGTGGCAGAGGGTTGAGGGAAAGGCCTCCTCCCTGCTTGCTGGGAAGATGAAATAAAACAAGGAGAACGAAATGGCGAGGGTGGATATGAAATGGGGTGGAGTTTACGGGAGCGGAAGTAAAATGGGATGCGAAACGGTTCCGAAGAGAGGCGGCAGTAGCGGTGTAGGAGGAGGAGGAGGGAGTCGGACCGGCTGGAAAACCGGGAACAGTGGAAAACTCTCCCGGTCGAGAAATGACTGCTGTGTTTTGTATTGTTCCCGTTATGTGCGGGGGATTTTGATACACACAAACACGTACGGGGGAGAGGAAAAGTAGGAAAAATGGGATGAGAAACTCTCGGTATTGAAAGAAACTGGTGAAAATGGTGCTATATGGTCTTTAACAGGGGATTGTTATTTAGGATGTTCATTTCTCCTTTCCTTTTCTTTTTTTATTTTTTTAAGCAGCACATTTAATATTTTTTTCATTTCACTTTTGCGATTTTATTTCTTGTACATTTTAAAAGGATACTCAACAGTTTCATGTCACAACCATATAGTTAGGTTTATTAAGTTTTAGTTCTTCGACGAAGTTATGTAACGCTACGTTTACTCCTATTTCTTATGAATAGTTCGTAGTTTTCGGTTTGCTAAAGGAAATTTAATTATATTTACGACTGAATAATTTTCTTGCTTTATTATGTTGGGCTACGATGTGAAAATTTCAATTAAAACAAAAAAAAAATGTTATCATATTTTTATTACATTCTCGTTACATCGAGAAAACTGTTTAATGAAGATATTTTTACAATCATTATGCGTATCGTACTTCTATGCAGACGAATTACTCTGATTCAAGATGCACTTCCCATATATTTAACACGTTATTGCTCAAAGAATATACTAAGCTTACTACATATCGCTGCCGTGCATTGTGCCCAGGTCAAGTTAGGATCAACATTAACCCCGAGAAATTTAATGAAACTCGTGTTTTCTTTATTTATCAGGCACAGCGTAAAGGTTAAACCGATTGTTTTATCCTGTACTACTTGCCAAATCATTTACGTGAATCTAAACATTCAGAAATTACTTCGAACGTCTTGAAGTTTCTTATTATAATTAGCAGATTTGTTAATAATTTCTGGGGATTTTCAAGTAATTTCTAGTGGATATATAAAGAACTTTCAAAAGTTTCAAGGAAGTTATAATAAAGATTTCAAAATATATTTAAGGATTTCAAACAATTTCCAGAAGAAATTTCAGGAAATTTGTAAAGCTTTTCAATGATGTTAAAATTTCTATGAATTTTCTATAAATAATAGAATCTAAGAATTTTTAAGGCATTCAAGGCTTTTTTTTCGGAATTCATAGGAATCATAAGGAATTCTACGGATTTCGAAAGGCGTTCAAGAATTTTCAACAAGTTGTCAGGATTTCTAAATATATTCAGGAAATTCCTACGATTTGCAGAAAATTTTCAAAAGATATCCAGAGATTTAAGGATTTCTAATGATATTCAGGGATTACCACAACGGAATTTTTTTCA